CTCGGTCATCGTCCTCGTCCAGCGGAACGCGCTATCTATGGCGGGTGCGAAATAATAGAAACGCCAGCTCGCGACAAACTCCGTCGCGTGGATAGTGTCCTGGTGGAAAAACAAGACCGCGCTTTGAAGCACAAATTGAGATAAATCCTGTTACTGTTGCAATTAGTAGCCACCGCAATCAAACAGCCCGCTCGTTTGAAGCCGCGAACGAACCGGCTAAAGTTAGCGATTCGGGCTTCCGCTTTCCGCCGGAGTTTTATTCACGTCAGCCCTCCTCAGGGTGCAGTAGATCCATTCCGTAACTTTTCACGACAGTGTTATTATCGTCGTGTTATCGTCGCGCAAATGTAATATGCGGTAGAAAAGTTGCGCAACGTCATAATAACGACATACTGTAGTTGAAAGTTACTCTTTCAGTAAGAATACAATCAACGTATCCTTTGAAATGTGCTACACGTATTACTGGTGGTTCAGTTGTAAGTATAGCACTGCAATCAGTAAAATCTCTGATCAGTTGAAAAGGTCAGTTAACAGCAGCTATTATTCCCATTGTTGATGCATCTTGCGAATACAGACAGTATTATTGCACGCAAGACGCATGGAAGCCATTAATTCGCACAGATTTCTACTAAGGATAAGACTATATATATTTTTTTAATGGATCTGATTGTATTCAAATCTTAATATAGAGCTTTTCAAAACAATCCATGAAAATCTCACCGTGATAATATCTATGTCATAAACGCGTTAATATCTATGTCATAAACGCGGAAAGTTGGATTTGGTATAGAGAATTTATGTATTGCAAATGTTTCAGTGAAATCTTACTTTCACTGGTTAAAACCAGTGAAGAATAAGACGTTAGCATTGGAGATAAGACGGAGCAATAAATTGCGAATATTTTCACTGACAAAATCAGTGAATCAGTGATCATTGATGAAACAGTTCTTTTGCTGATTCAATCGGAAATATTTTTACCAGTTTATCTTAAAAAACTACAGAATATATATATATATATATATATATATATATATATATATATATATACAGATATCTAATAGATAGCTACCGCTAATATGGCTATTTCTTGAGATTACATTTTTTTCGACCATTTGTCTCTTAAACGACTGTAAAAATAATATCGAAATTTAATGCTCTTGATCTACTCGATATAAGCTTCAAATCAATGTATTATTGATTAAAATATTCAAAATTTTTGGAAAAGAAGCAAAATGTCTATGGACGTTTGACCGCATTTTTTATACTATGCAATAATGTAAATTTTTTGTTGTATAGATGCACAGCTATTAATTTACTAAAAATTACACTCAAATTTCCATATTTGCATGACATATTGTTTTGAGAATTTTCATCATTCTTTTCGTATTTCCTTCGTATTTCTATTTCGTCATTCTATGTGAAAAAAATATGAGGGTCGTATGAACCATTCATAAGGGATGTGCAGCCTTTACAAACAGATTAACGAAGCCAAATTTAAGTACATCTGTCTACCTAGAGAATGCCGTTTCCTTCAACCAAAGCACGTTTGTTTCCTCCACATTGCCATGCAGATTTAATCAAATTTTTCCCTGTATGTACATTATTTCGACAAAGTCTTTCTCCATGATTTTAATTATGCACTTGGAAACGCATTAACATATCATATATCTCGGCATCAATTGCGCACGAAATTGCGCGGAAAGATAATTCCACGGGATAATTAAGATAAACCCGCGCATCAGTTACAGTGACGGTGCCGTCGTAGTGTGTATACATGTAGATGTGTGTGTGTGTGCATATGTGTGCGCGGTAAACACAGTATACGGTCGCCGCGTGGTTGAACGAATGTATTGGTGTGCGCGCGTCACCGATACAGTCGCGCGTGTTGCAGCGATATTGGAAATATGCTCGAATATTTGGATATTTTTTCGGGCTCGCGGCTGCGTACCGTTTCATGATCGCCTGTGATCGGCGCCTCAAATTAAGATGCACGGAAGACGGATTGCGATCGATAAGAAAAAGCGCAACGCGACATAGAGCCGCTCGTCCGTCTTATTCGTCGTCTTACCCCGTCTTCGACCGACATCTCATAATTTCGACGTATAATCACCCCCGTATCTTCACGAAAACGTCTCGATTATGAGCGAAGACCTGCCAAAAATCCAGGAAAGATGAAGAAGAAAAGGAAGAGAATAGTCCAAGAGCGTCTTGGGCTTCGCCTCGACTGTCCTTCCAGACTGACGGCAAGTCAGCTGCTTTCCATGTAATTTACAGGAATTTACACTTCCAGGCGCGCGCGGCTCGCACCCCAGTTGTCCTGCTATCCTGGCGCTCCTGGAACACCCTCCTACGGTAGAACACCCTCCCACTCCACTGCGCGGAGGCCGGAAGCAGGAGCGGCGGAACGAGCGTTCCTGAGTTATAGCTTCCTGGTGGTACGAATGCTTCTGGCGCCACTCTCTTGACGAGTGACAGGACATTGACGAGCGTTGTCGAAGGACGAGGGCAAGTCGTCATCGTCGTCGTCGTCGTCATTGTGGTCGTCGTCGTGGACAAAAGAAGTCCGGAGCGCACGTCGAGGCGAAATTCGTGGACGCATGCCGCCCTGATACGGGGGATGCTTGCCATCCGAAAGCGCATACGCTGCGGGGCTGGGAGCGGCCCTGTTTCACCCCCGCAGGGGAAAAAATCTTTCTTCATGTTACCCTGTTGCCGAGAATATTTGTGAGGGACAAGCGCGTGACACGAGCGGTCGTCGAAATATCTTAGGTCCGTATTAATTCTGATCCTGGCATACTGCGCTGATTTTCGATCCCATCCAAACTTTAATTTTGAATTAGCTGCAAACTAGTGGAATGAGAGAACTTTCTTCGCACAACACGTACCTCTCGAAGATGTCTTAAAGAGCTTCTCTCACCGATATTTGTCCAAAAAGTCAATTTCTTTTTGTGTATAATTTTATTCTATAAATAAAATCTTCGGTTTCGGTGAGCACATTTGTTGTGCTGTTATAGGACTCTTCTCTGAAATATGCCAGCATTTCTTTCTTTTGTTCATAGCTTTATTTTAGAAGGCTGTTTAGAAAGTTTTAATATCAAAACAGTAATGAAAGTTTTAATTCAACGGTCTGGAAAGTAGCTCCTACCCTTGTGGCCACAAATGATTGATATCGCATTTTACCTAGTCACGATTGTTTTTAATGAAGAATGTTTCCCTTTACTGAACGTCCTCAACTCGATAAAAATGAAAATATAAGGAAAATTTTACGTGAATAGTTTGCTTATTTTTAGCTATATATTATTAAGCTTTCTGTTAAACTATAATCCTGAATAAAAAAGATTCAGAAATACTTTTTTAATTAATAAATAATAATTTTTATAAAATCCGCATTACAATAAATTAATATATAACTTGTAAAACCTTGAAATTAATAATTTTACTCGCTTCTTGACTGATATTTATATATTTATTTTTATGTAAAATAATATTTTTCTTCTATATGTGAATACGAATTTAAACATTAAAGGATTTCAGATCTTTGACAGAAGTAAAAATTAAATAAAATTTAAAAGATTTTAAAAAGATATAAATATATTAATAGGAGTATGAATTTTTTGTTATATATTAAGTCTATTAAGTACATTTAACAATATCTTAGTATAAAAAAACTAAAAAAATAATGCAACTTTAATAAAGCTTTAAACGCGTTATTTTCAAAATAGCATTTTTTAAACTATAATTACGATAACTTCAAGTTTATTTGATTAACTTAATGTTTGACACAAATGTTTATCATAATTGTTTGTTTTTGGGGTTTACGGAAGTTATTCGCAAATTCCAAAACTTTTTATTTATTTAACAAACTCGAATTTTTTAATAAAAAGATTAAATTTAACTTTTATCTCTTCTATTTTGCGAAATATTGTTTTTTTTTCAAAATCTCCGCTATGAATCGATAAGTATAACATAACTATATGGATATAACTTTAATGAACAAAAAATATATTAATACTTTAATTTCAAACCACTCCTATTGAATTAGGCACTCCTATTAAGTCGAATCTATAATTTTTAACGATAATATATCATTATCGTTATGTTGTCATTACATAGATATAAATCAAATAATAAAATATGATAGAAAACTGCGCAACGACAACATAACAATAATGACATTGTCGTTAAAAGTTACAGAATATCTGTTGGATGATCACCGTTGACGCATAATTCTTTTGCAGAAAACAGAATTGAAGTTATCTTAACATTTACCATAGAATCTAATCTTTTTATACTTTTATATTTTAAGGGTTTTTATATTTTAACAAGTATTGTTAAATATACTTAAAAGACAATAACAAAAAATGCATCCCCCTATTAATTTATAACTTTTTACAATTCTTTAAGTTTTATCTAATTTTTATTTCTGTCAGAGTTGCAGAACCCTTAAATTCTCAATACCGCTCACGAATTCCTTGGCAAGAATGTTTCGCTCATACCTTGTTCATGCTTTGGCGCTACCACGCTGACGCATACTCGCGAGGGAAACGAGGGATAGGATTTCAGGTCCTTCAGGATATCGTGGAGGTTCGAAACCGCCTTTCCAAACGCGCCTGTCGACTTTCTCGTATCCTGATACTCGAGCTTACGCTACCTTTTGAAGTCGTTCGCGTTAGATAATGTGGCGGTTTTCTTTTTGCACAAATCTACGGTGTATTAGATACTTACACGAATTCTCGTCGCGTACATAAACCGTATCGTCGGCTGTCTTTATTTTCACGTCGTAGTAAAATCGTTTTAGACTGTGCAGGTGATATTCCGAAGAAGTTCCTGATTCTTTCGACGGATCTTGCGTATATTTTCTTTTTTAACTAAAATCTTATCGTAACCACTTGTTCATTGCGCCATTACGATTATGTTACAAGATTATCCTTCGCGAGGGCAGCACCATCCAACATCGTCATTGTGGCGCGATCACAATATCCAATAGCAGGTCTGATGTCGTAATTCCTTTCAATTTTCTCTTGGCTGCGCTGATGTTCGCAATATATGTGTAGTTAGTATTATGAGGAGCCTAATTACATCATGTTGATATCGCGCTTATACAATATTTGTAAATATTAATTAGATAGTACCATATCGAATTGTGCATCTGCAAGTAAATGTCTACATTGCCAAATATGAGTGTATCGACGAATCTTAAGAAACACAGCACTCATTGTCAACCAGGTTAGATGTCACCACTTTTATTTCATTAAGATACAAAAGATTGACCACATCAACGTTTATTACTGTAATTGATAATGAGGAAAATATATCTACTAGTGTTAAAAGTTAAGTTAATATTGTACAAGTAAAACTTTGCTATTCCAAGTTTTATCAAGAATAAAGCTTCAATTTGTCAAAAGTAAAGCTTTGTTCTGCAAAGAGCACAACTTTGTTTTGTGAGAATCAAGATCTTTGCCAAAAGTAAAACTTTATTTCTTTAAATGATAAGTATTTATTTTTTAAGATGTTCATAAGATGGGTTGCGTTGAGCGAACGCAGGGTGATGGCATGGAGAATGTGACAGCAGATAAGACTGAGACCAAACAAAGTAGAAGTCGTCTAGGTGATACTCTTATTTATCATCCTACAAATCTGAAGCAGTTGGGATCAACGCCTCCAGTTATGCCTACTGGTACAATAGTAAATCTAGTGCCAAAGAATATTAGTAAGCAAGAAAAGCATATTCTACATTCCCTGAAATCGAAGGAACCAAAATTTGTGCCGTATGAACCGTACAAAGCAGCTGTTAATCCAATAGTACCATTTGAAAAAAAGAACATGAGATTATCTAGGAAAGAGTCGAGTATGAAGGCCACAGTCGCACAAATAGCAGCGATGAAAATTCAGGAGACTAACACAAGAGTGAAAGATGCTACAAAAGAGAGTATGGAGAAAGTATCAGATGATGTGTGGGAAAATGAGAAACGTGCATACGAGGGAGAAATTCGCAAGCTCAAGGAGGAGAACAGTCAGCTGGAAACTCAGTTAAAATTTCAAGCACAGGTATGACAGTGATGCTTTGATTGACAGTGAAATTTACCTTGGCATTTGTGGTGCTCATTCTGTCATGTAATGATATATAACAGGTCAATGGTGAATTGAAGAATCTATTAGTTGCTGCAGTGGGAGAGGATCTTGAAACAAGGGTTCATCTATTAACTGAGGACAAATTACAACTCGCTCGTGCTCTCTTGAATTCAGCCCAGCATTTAACAACACATCAGGAACAAACGGAATGGCTAGCAGGCCAGTGTGAAGTTTGGAGAAGTAAATTTCTGGCTAGTAGGTAATTGACAATCGTTTTCGTGGTGACACCGCGATTCCTGCGTTTTATGGTTTGCACAAAATCTGTAGCAGTCTCTTTTAAGCTTTAACAAGATGACCATAATATATCACTAATGCGAGATTTATTACAGTTTGATGGTAGAAGATTTAGCAAGATGGAAAGCTGCACTCTGTCAAAGAACAACAGAACTGCAAGAATCAATGAAACGATTGCTAGAAGAGCATAACGTTATTCGCGATACGTCGCTTAAAATGTATAGGTATATTGTATAATCATGTTTTTTGTACACGCATAAAAATATATATGTATAATTAGCTATATATACACATATATAATTACCTATTTATTATTACATGGAATTATATAACTTCATCGATTTAATAACCAATTTGTGGTTCTTCAGAATGCTTACGATTCTACGAGAGAAATTCGATCCGATAGGCACGACATCCGGCAAGAAGCATGAATTGGCTAGCACGAATATCGTGGATCTCACGCAAGGATGCTGTCAGCTCGCAGAAATTCTAAAAGTCAGCCTACTTAGCGGTGTTCCAGAGTCCGAATTACGGAGAGAGATCAATATAACTGGCTTGGATATGAAAACGCTCGCGGAACATAACGCGGAAAAGGTGAGGATGTTTGAATGTCTATGAATATTTTGCGACTAGATATGTTTGTATCTAGATGTAACGAGATTATGTTTAAATTTGTGTAGTTACTGATGAATCAAAAATTGCCAATGACGGGAAGAGAAGACGTTGCCTGCACTGCTGTAATGGGCGCGGCAGTCGCAGTTGGCGGACAAATGTTTCTTCCGCGATGTGACATTAAAAATATGACATGTTGTCCACATTGCAGCGGCGAGATTAAACAAATTTGAAAGTGACTCTACTTTTATATCTTCCACTTGATGCTTTTGTACTAAATATATCAAATATTTTCATCATATCTGAAGTTTACATAGCTATTTATTTTTTAATTTAAGAAAATCGGTCTCTTTTTATACGATTTACATAATATTGTATAATTAATAATTAAAGTATGTAGCTTTAAAGATAAGATTAAATATGTGGTTTAATTTTCAAATTTTGAACTTAATTTCAGAGTCTTTAATACTTAAAAAATGTGTAGTCTTCTTCAAAACGAAATTCAATTTATCAAATTTATTCATCATATCTGCAATACTATAATTTAAAAGACCAACATTTGTAATTATTTTATTCCAAACAGCATAGATCTTCACAGGACATCTTAAAGATGTTCTGAGAATGTTCTTACATCCTGAGAACATCCCCAAGATATCCTCTGAAGATCTTATGCTATCTGAATATTATTTATTCTTGTATATGTTTGTAAACATACATTTTATATGCTTGTATAATTTATTTTGCACATACACGTATATGCACGAATAATATAATTGTTATTTCTTTATCTCTACTTTCTTACAAGTGCAAAAGTGCTTTAAAAATTAAAGGATGATATTATGTTCTGCTTTAACTTTGTTCTTTTTAGGCACTATAACTGCATAGATGGAAAATAAATAGATAAAATATGTAAGAACAAAATATAAATTTTCACAGGTATAAAAATATAGAGGAAGTTAAAGAAAAAGCAATAATATACAGTGATTAATATGGGGTTATAATTGTTGTGCATCAGGAATAAAAACTTATTTATTAATTATATCGTTTTGTTATATTACACACCAAAATTAAAGACTTTCTTTTTCTAGACACATATGAAATTCAATTGCCATAACTTCGGGAAAAATAATAGTAATAAGATGGTTCAAGTAACATTTTAAAGTCTAATATCTCTAATTCCCATGTATATTTCTCAATATAATTTATTTTTTATAACACTATATGGATATATCAAAATTTGCTAAATGTCAACATTTTTTATGTTTGTCAAATTGTAGATCGTAAACGGAAAATTACGTATAAACGAAACCGGTTACAAATGCGAAATTTTTTTTTAAATTTACATGCAGATGAAGCGCGACTTTTATCGTCAAGTTATTGGAAACAAAAAGCTTTTTTTCGAGTTTGATCGTTAGAATAAACAAATCGATGTAATACATCAACCGTCAAAAAATAAATAAAAAAAAAGTTTAAAGTTTATTTAGAGATCTTTATTTTTAAATAACAAAATTTAATGATAAACTACATGCAAATTTTTTGTTCTTCACGTTCTTTGCCTAACCTCCATCTCTCTTACTTGGCAGAATTCGTTTGTTTACATATATACTCCATCAACGAATAAGACGATAGTGGTTGATTCATCAGGTTGAAGCATTTATATATGCTTACTTCGAATTTGACAGTGTCGTGTACACTCGTACACGTCGTTAAAAATGCAAGTAATGAATTACTATCTGAAAAATCTGAAAAATTAAGTCGATTAAATTCAACACGAAATTTGTTTACTGGAGCGGTATAACCTCTAAGTAACATGTTATCTTCACACGTAATCGTGTTCCTTGCCGGTTTGCTCGGTGTTATAACATGTAACAACGCTTACAATGACTTCTTCGACGAGGAATTAATGTTGAAGCCTCTGCCAAGTAATCACGTTTACGCCTATTTTCAATTCACCACGATATGGGAAACAGCGAAACGTGTGGAAACGCGTGAGTAGTGCACGATACTTGTATTACAGTGCTGAATGATTCATATAAACGTGATAAAAATATTTCAGTTCAACATTCGCATCTCTTTCCAAGGGGATTGGGTGAGATCATAAGCCGGCACAATGTCGATGAGTTACATGTTACTTTAACAGAAGGACTGTGGAATTATCAGAAATGGGGATATCCTTTTCATGATGCTGGTCCTGGTGCTGAAGTCACTGCCTGGTTTAATAAAAATGTGACAAAGTAAGATAAATATTTTTAAGGATTCGCAAATATTTTTGGAGTTGGCAATGATATAGTTATAAATACCGTGAATAATTTTTATGCTATACTTAGATTACATAAGCAGCAAGGATGTAAAAACTTTATAATAGGTTTTTTTATAGTGTAGATGAGGGATGGAAGGGTCTGACAAACGCCTTGGCTGGATTACTCTGTGCCTCTTTAAACTTTGTTGATGCATCTAACAGTATGTCACCAGAGTTTTCTTTTCGTCCTACCGGAGTCACAGATGAACCAGTAAATTCTAGTCACTTACGTTACTCGTCTTTACCAAGAGAGATAGTTTGCACTGAGAATCTAACACCATTCAAGAAGCTGTTACCTTGTGACTCTAAGGTACTCACAAATGGGCCTTTGATTTTTATATATGTATATATTGTCTTTTATTTGCATATATTGTATATATTGTATATATAGTGTATTGTATTATATATATATATATATATATATATATATATATATATGTATATATATATATATATATTGTATATATTATATGTATATATTGTCTTTTATTTGTTATACTTGCACGTCTCTTCATGCTCACTCCATCTTAATTTATTTGTTGTATTTCTAGTAGCTACTATTATATATATGGTATATATATTGTATTTACTAATAGCTAGTATTATATATATATATATATATATATAGTATATATATTGTATTTACTAATTATTGTATATCTTATCACTATATAGCTCTTTATTATTGTATATCTATTATTTATAGTATTTATTGTATTTGTAATAGAGAAAATTGTTTTTTTTAGCGAGGTCTAGCGACGTTGCTGAATTCTGCACATATTCATAATACAAATTATCACTCCATTGGAATACATTTCCGGTCGATATGTCGCGATATAACTTGCACGAGAACGTCTCTGGAACTTCGACAGACTGTCTCATTGATATACGACACAATGGCAGACATAAGTCAGGTAAATGTCACGTTATTGTTGTCGTTATTTCACGTACACCTTGCTGATCACTTAATCTACGCAGGATTGGTCGATTCGAAAATTCTTTGGGATGGGCCTGAAAGGCGCGTGTCCACTCGCTACATTGAGCAATATATACGTTGATATATCTAACAACAATACGAATCACGTGTACGAATTAACGCCACCGCCGAGCGCGAAAATCCTGAGCTTACGTGGAGGGCAGCAGAACAAAATAGCGGTGTACGACATCCGGACACACTCCAGTAAAGGAATGTTTAATGTAGCCGCTGTACATAGCACACCAAGAATAAACTCTATAAACTACCCCTCGATTTTGTTCGCCAATAGGTATATTATAGGTACGTATTCAACGTTAAAGTGGATTTATTTTTTTATTACATTGCAGGGACACAAAATGTTTAAAAAAGGGTTCAAGACTTACAAAACAGGTAGTATTCATTAAACTGAGTTAAAAATATCCAGTAAACATATATCGAAAAATCAGCCCTTTCAGAATTACAAATGTTTTTTTTTCAGTTTTAGCAATATAATTTTATCATATTATTTTATTATTGCTTTGATGTTTGAAAAAGTTCTACATTATTTGTCATGACGTTACATTATATCATTTGTCTATACAATCTCTATATGATTCCATATTTGTTCAGTGTTATACAATTACTAATTGTGTTATACAATTAATAATTATAATATAATTTTGTTTTCTCGTCACATGTAATAATATGAGCGAGCAAATCATATACATTATCAAAACTAAAAATCATTTCTAACTCTGAAAGGATTGATTTTTCGACTCATGACTAAGTATTTTTTACTCAGTTTAGTGAGTACTATTTATCCCATATTTATACTATTTATCTTAAACGCTTTTTTTTAACATCCTATATACCCTTGAGAATTGTAACTTTAGAGAGTCGATTTCGTTGAAACATTGTTATATGTGCGTATGTATGTACATATATAGACAGGGTAACATAAATAATAGTTTCATTATATGTTAATATTCTGTAGGATACGGCCAAGAGAGAGGCAGTTTGGTAACAAAGTTATATAACAATTACTGGCAGACACTAGATGTAATCTTATTGGAGAATATTCCATGGTATTTGTTAGTTTACTTACATTCTATCACGATAACCCGAAATGATCAACAGATTTTCCCATGTAAGTAATATATATATATATATATATATATATATATATATATATATAGATAATATAGGATACAAAATAGTCCAACAGAAATAAGAAATGACTAATAAGATAATAATATAACTGATTATTTCCTCACTGAGACAATATTTTTATCGTAATAACAAGCTCATTTTAAGTTAATTTAATACTAAAATTATCGAAGATTAGCAATCTATGTTTATCAGAGTGGTAATAATCATGACAGGTTCTTAAAAAAAATAAGGAAAAAGATATTTACTTTTTACCTTTATTTAATATCAATTAAAAATATAAAATGCACCGTTGTAAATTCGAGTAATTTTTATAAGAAATTACAAATCCGTCGTTTTAACAGTTTTGGTAGTTCTAATGTTCATAAGATAGGATCAGGAAGATATTAATTTAATAAGACACGATAAAAAAAGAATTAATTTAATAAAACAGGATAAGAGGAGAGAATTCATTTAATAAGACAAGATCACATTATTATTAAAAAAATCGAGACACGAGATGAGTCTTAATATGTAACAATCTGTTACTGATTGATTACGCTTATCGAAAGACTTGCAAAGATATCGGCATGTATCGCCAAAATATATAGATTAAATCCTCTTATTGTTGGTGCAATATTATTGCATCTAACATCTACAATCTCTCGGCTCTTATTAGCCACTTCTTATTTTCGATAAAAAATAGTACACTGTGTAGAATAATCTAATTAAGGGACGGTTGTTCCAATTTCTTGGTAAATTAAGTAATAGTTAAATCATATGTATTTGTTTAAATTGAATTAAAAGTAAACATAGGCATATGATTTAACAATCAGTTAACTTACCAAGAAGTTGGAACAATCGGCCTTAAAGCTTGCTGTCGAAATTGCACAGTTATGCATCACAAACGTACAACTTACGACTTACGCACTCTGTAAAATTTATAAAAGAGCCTTTATTCGTGATAATTATGTAACATGGTTGACACATTTTCTTTTTAACGGTATTACAGTGGCACAGCGTTATCTACCAGGGAAGGAAAGAAAGAGTCCGTACTATTTGGAATTAATATTGCGTCTGCCACCGCACTCAGTTACAAAGGTCTCCATCGACATGGATTACTTGTTTCTCAAATGGCAGGAATATCCGCCGGACGCTAATCACGGCTTTTACATGGAACCGGCGGTAGTAACGGCATTATTACCCATAGCCAGAAACTATACCGCTCTGCCGCTCGATGGAAGTACAATTACTTCGAGGTCAGTTTGCGTGGTCCGTCTTAACATCGTTTCTCCGATGATCAGAACGCAAACTCTCGTTCGTTAATAAACTTACAACCAACAATATAAATAACTAAATCAAAGATAACTTAGTACTTATAATGATAAATTTGCAGTTTCAACGCCTCGAGGGACAACTATCTGGTACAATTACGAACAGAGTCCTTGCTCATCAGTCTTCCGACTCCCGACTTCAGTATGCCGTATAATGTTATATGTCTAGCGTGCACGGCCGTCGCGCTGGCGTTCGGTCCGCTTCACAACATTTCCACAAAGAGATTGGTCTTGAAGCCTATCGAGAAGGACTGGAAAGGTAAACTATTTTCGTTCTTTGTAGGGAAGATATTCAAAGCGAAGAAAAAACAGGATTGAAGAATGTAAATAAATATATATATACACACATACACACAAAACACATACGTATATGTCTGTATGTATATATTATAAATTACGTGAACTGTACTTCTCGTCCAGATGACTAATATATGTATTTACATACTTCCGCTATAAGGCTCTATAGCAGTTTTAACAAACGAATATAAGAACTTTTCCTTTATGCAACTTTTTATAATTACGAAAGGTGTGGAATTCTCTTCTTTCTTGTAATAACAAATATATGTCTGTATAAACTGAATTGCTTTGCTTAACTTTTCATCGACGTTCTCTTCTGCAAAATGTTGTAAATTTCACTGTGCGGGACGTATTAAAAAGTGCGCTCATATTTTGTTCTGTACTTAAGGTGTACACATATTTTGACTTACACATATATGTATATATATATATATATATATATATATATATATATATATATATATATATATATATATTTTTTTT